TCTTTGGCAAGTTGAAACCCAATTTCTCCAGCACCATTTATTAAAGAGGCTATCTTTCCTCCAGTGAGGGTGTTTGGCTCCTTTATTGAAGATGTGGTGGCTGAATGTGCCTGGAGTTGTTTCTGCATCTTCTTCTCTGTTCCACTGGTCCTCAGGTCTGTTTCTTTGCCAGTACCATGTTGTTTTTATCACAATAGCTTTGTAGTACAGTTTCACGTAGGGGATTGTGATACCCCCTGCCACGTCTCTGTTGCCTAGAATTGCTTTTGTTATTCTGGGTCTCTTCTTATTCCAAATGAATTTTTGTATTGTTTTCTCAAGGTCCATGAAGTATGCTGCTGGGATTTCACTTGGGATTGCATTGAATCTTTATAGCAATTTTGGAAGTATGGCCATTTTCACTATGTTGATCCTTCCTACCCAGGAGCAAGGGCTGTCTTTCCATTTTCTGATAGCCGCTACAATGTCTCTTTTCAGAGTGCTATAGTTTTCGGAGAAGAGGTCTTCGATTTCTTTTGTTCGGTTGATTCCTAGGTATTTCAGTTTTTTGGATATTATTGTGAAAGGAATTGTTTGCTCTTTTTCTCAGTGAGTCTGTTGTTCATTTAGAGGAAAACTTGATTTTTGTTTTGACCTTGTATCCAGCTACTCTACTGAATTTGGTTATTAATTCTAGAAGACTTGGTGGAGTTCCTGGGGTCTTCTGCACATAATGACAATTTGACTTCCTTATTTTTGGTACTAGGGATTGAACTCTGGTCCTTGCGCTTGCACAGCAGGCGGTGAAACCACTGAGCTAAATCCCCCGCAATTTGACTTCTTCATTTCCTATTTTTATTCCTTTTATTGCTTTCTCTTGTCTAATTGCCATGGCTAATGTTTCCAAAACTGTTATTTAATAGGAGTAGTGATAGTGGACATCCTTGTCTTCTTCCTGATTTTAGTGTGAAGGATTTCAGATTTTGACCATTTAGTATGATATTGGCTGTTGGTTTTTCATAGATAGCTTTTATCAGATTGAGGTAGAGACCATCTATTCCAATTTTTTGTAGGATTTTTATCATAAATGCATGTTGGATTTTGTCAAATGTTTTTTCTTCATCTATGGAGATAATCATATGGTTTTTGTTCTGGGCTCTATTGATATAGTGTATTACATTGATTGATTTGTGTATGTTGAACCATGCCTGCATCCCTGGGATGAATCCCACTTGGTCAGGGTGTATGATCTTCTTGATGATCTTCTGCATTCTATTTGCCAGTACCTTAATAAGGATTTTTGCATCTATATTCATTAGTGAGATTGGCCTATAGTTCTCTTTTTCAGATGGGTCTTTCTCTGCTTTGGGGTCAAGGTGATGCTTGCTTCCAGGAATGAATTTGGGAGTATTGCTTCCCTTTCAATTACATTGAAGAGTTTAAACACTAGTGGCAGTAATTCCTCTCTAAATGTCTTGTAGAATTCAGAGGTGAAGCCGTCAGGACCCGGGCTTTTCTTAGTTGATAACTTTTTTTTGTTACATTTTCAATTACATTCATTGATAATTGGGTTGTTTAGAATTTTTAGGTCTTCTTCATTCAACTTTGGTAATTCATATGTATCTAGGAATCTGTCCATTTCTTGTTTTTCATCTTATTCAGCAGTGAAGCCATCGGGACCTGGGCTTTT